ACCCTGCTGCCAGCTGCTGCTTCCATTATGAACTTCTGCAGAGTCACAAAGGATTTTAGGTCACTGGCATCTACAAAGATATGCTCACTTAGCGAGATAAACATGAATGCATGCTGTGGCTGTTAAGTCATTGTGTGGGGCCTCTGCTGACCAGCTGCTGTGTTCTGGTAAAACATTAACACATCTTTTTTGGATTATGTGAGCACTCTTAGTGCAAGCTGGCGGATTAATGAGCCATTCACAAATTGATGAGTGAAATCAGTTTTGGGACTGACAAAAGACAAACAGCATGTCACTCTCACATATAAAAACTGTGGCATAAAAATAAATCAAGAGGAAATCAGGTAGCAGGTAAACAAACATACAACTCTGCCCCTGTCGTTATATCACTTCCCTGCTTTACTTACATTTAAATAGACTAAATAAATTTATTGTAAACAACAAAAGGAAGTGAAAACAGAAAGGTGGAGGGGGCTGCATAATGGTGGCGGTAAAACCGGCCCTGTTCTCAACAAGCCTGCCCCTGATGTGCAAAGCTGGAGAGTCATCACAAGTCCTTTCCCAGATTGTTGATCTCATCCAGGACAAAGTCCATGTCCTGCCTGCTGACCTGAGGACTGATGATGATCATCCTGAAGAAGTTGGCCTTTTCTCCGTGGGGCTGGTAGCCCACCATCATGCTGCCCTTCTTCATCATGCGCTCTTTGATCACAGGTGCCACCTGCAGGAGGAGGGAGGAAACACTGCAATGACTGGCACAAAACACACTGCGGAGGATTTGGTCACCGTCAAATTTTAGAAAGTCACTTTTAGGTGGTTAACGACTTACTTTGTGGAGCTTTTCCCAGAGCTCAGGGCCATCTGGAAGGTTTCGCAAGCTGGGTGGAATGTACCAGAAGCAAATATTTGCATATTCAGGCTGTAGAGAAAATACAAAATTGAGATGTATGCACTTCTATAAATAAATAAAAACATGAATGAAATGCTTCTTTTTGTGGTTCGTAATGACATGAAATTTAGTGGTTTAGTGTGAATTAACTTACTTCCATCAGCAGACGGAATCCTTCTCTTTTCTTGATCTCTTCTGCCAGATATCTGTGATGTAGAAGATTTAGCTTCAGATCGCAGCACAGATTTATATCATCATTTCCACCGCTAAACATACAAGCCATAATAATACTTAGTCTTAGGGGTGGAGCCTGTCCCAGCTGTCATAGGGAAAGTCTTTGCATTTATCACAATATTTTCAGAATTGGGGTTAATAATAAAGTAACTGTTTTTTTTAATATTTCATATCGATAATTAACTAGATATTTTTGATTTATTAAAGCAAATATATCTGTAAAATGCATTGAGAATGCACTATATAGCCTAGGGGTTGTATAGTGTGCCAACCAAT